GGAAAATCAGATAAATTACATATACACAGACACACCTTTTGCACATTGTTCAAAAAGCAGATGTTCAACAACTAACATTAAAAAGTTTATCTTTTTTTTAAAAAAACCATTGCCTTTAAAAACAACAAGCCCCCCCTAACTTTCCCCCCTCCCCGCACCGGAGATCAGTAATCTCCTTTGCAAACATTCCAACCTAGTTCCAGTCTGTGCTTCACTTTTCCATTTTTTTTTTTACCTTGAGACAAATGTTTTTCCCCCTCAAAGCTGAAAGCTGTCCAAAAAAACAGGACCACACACAAGCACAGCCCTACCGAGCTGTGCTGATCACGTTCCTCCTGTTCCTGCTGCTGCTGCTAAGGACACACACACACACACACAAAATGGCGGAGGGGGTGGGCTGCTTTCCAGACAGACTTTCCTTTCATGCACTTGAGAGGAAAGAAATAGTCAACTCACACAACCAACCCCCTGCCCTAACACCATGATCTCCTCCTCGCAGGACACACAGGCAGAGACAGAAGGAGATTGTTGCAGACTTGTGGGGTACCCAGCGAGTCTCCCTTCTCTCTGCCTCTCCTTTTTTACCACACACCGTAGCCCCCCCTTCCCGCTCCCCCCTCCCAAAACATTACCCTCCAGAATAGATTACAACTTGTGTACAGTCCATCTGGCCTGCAGCCAGCATGGGCCGAACAATGAACTATTCCCCCCTTGGTGAGAGGAAGAAACCCACACACACCCCGCTCCAAAAAATAAACTTCAATTTATAGCAATAAGGCTACGGATCAAACCTTACCTTCTACCCAGAGCTCCTCCACATTGGTTTCGAGATTGGCTGCTCTTAATCCCACAGCAAAAGCCCCGAATATCAGAAGGCCAACCACCAAAAATTTCCCACAGTTTTTCTGAATGTAACAGCCCAGTTTAAATAACAGTCTCTGAAACTTTGCTCTTAGCCACAGTGGTGATTTTCTTCCAGTAGCCTTTCCCTGTAAAGGCAAGGAAAGGTTTTGTCAATGAAGGGCCTGTGGAGAATCACACACACACACACACACACTGTGGCGAATTATTGCCAATAAAGAACATAATATACCCACACAAAACAATGAGCATCTTTTTTCAAGCATCACAACGTGACAGTAACTTGACAGGCCAAGGTATTAGGCAGTCACCTCTACAAAATATTTCCACACACACACACACATACACACAGTTGCTCACGTACAAAACAAAATACATTGTGAGGTGGGGGCTTTCTTTTTTTTTTAGCTGAGAACTACCCTGTTCATAAATCAGTTCAGACTGCTGGATTACATCACAACTGGAATTGTATAAATGTACACACTCCTTTATCTAAAGCAGCCTAGTCCCTTGCCTTCTCCCTAAAAAAGCCACTCGATTAATAATAATAATAATAATAATAATAATAATAAGTCGGTAAAGCGGACATGGAGCATGTGATTTTCAACAGACCTGTCAAGGGGTGGGGGTGGGGGGCTGAGGAGAGAGAAAGAACATTTTCCTGTCCTGTCCTGAGGGGCTTTATGGGGTGGGTGGCAAGAGGAGCCCACTTAATCACAAATTGTTGCCATCATTCATTCCCTGCCTTCCCCGGCTCCTTAAGCCCCCGCTTCGTAGTAAACTCTCGTCCCACGTGGTCCACAGCGCCCTTAACATCACAAGCTAATAAGAGTTATTCATTTCCATACGGTTTGGGGACGCTGTGTGATCTGAATTAGGAAGCCATCTGTAAAGTTACGACAATATTTGTGGACGGAAGAGGGCAGTCACATTTCTTGCTCCCACCCCCACCAAAAAGCCAATAAAATAATAATAATAAATAATAATAATAATAAATAAATAATAATAATAATAATAATAATAATCTGCTCACTGAAATGAAACGACCGGGCCGGGGGGATGCTGTTCACTTTGAACTCCCCCCCCTCGCCTTCGGTAATCCCTGCAAAATTCCCTTTTCCAGAATCGGCAGTCTCAAGGCGAAGCGAGAGAGCGTGCGCGCAATCTTTGACCAGAACCGGGGAGATTTAAGGTAGCAATTTGTTTACAACTTTCACTCGGCTCTCTTGCCGCTGGAGGTGAAACACGACATTCGGTGAGATTTCTTTGCTATGGAAACTTAACCCGGTGAATAAAAGCAAAGCCTGTGTGTGTTTGTGTGTGTGTGTAAAGGGGGCTGGGGGGGGTGTTAGGTAGGAATGTAAAGTATTGGAATTGATTTTTTTTCTCCTCTGAAACGTTTACAGAGCTTGGACAGAAAATTAAATCCGAAGGGAAGAAAAGGAAAGAAAGAGATGTGAAAAAAAGGGGGGGAAGACCCAGAGATCACCAAGGAGGATGGGAAGGAAACCGAGAAATCATCCCGGGTAACTTTAATTAGAGATGTGCAAAGCACAAACACAGACCCCAGGAAAAAGTGGCTTCGAGGCGGGAGGGGGAAAACAGGACTCACTCTCTCTCTGCCACTAAGGAGCCGCGGACACCCACACACCCCCTCGCACACATGCATAACTAACATTCTCCCAGCCTTTTATTGGCGACTCTTCCCTTTCAACCACCACCACCCCTTTCGGAGAAAAGGAAATTCCGGCGAGGAAGCCCCAGCTCGGGGAAGCACCTTGGCTATCTGCTCCAAGGCGAAGCCTGCATCACAGTAGCTCGGCCGCTGCAGATATTCCGGATCGGGAGGCGCGGCGCGTCTGTTCCCGCCGGTCCTCCTCCGCCTCCTGCTGCCGCTTCTCCCCGGCTGATCCGGCTCTCTGCAGCCGCCGCCGCCGCCTCCTCCTCCATCGCCGCTGCTGTTCTCCGGCTCGGAGGCATTAACAGCTGAGGCCATGTTGCCGCCGCGCAGCCGGGGCTGCTGCCGCCGCCGCCGCTGCTGTTGTTCTGGCGACCCAGGGGCTGCGTCCCGCGCGGTTCCCCCCAGCGCGCTGCTGCTGCTCCGGGGCGATCCAGCGGGACCGGGGGTGGGATGGCTTGGGGGCGACGCTCTGCTGCTGCTGACAGACCACTTCTTCATACCGCGTTGGCTGCTGAAGTTGCTGCCCTAGCTGCTCCCGGCGAGTCAGACCCCGAGCCTTCCATTGCAACATTTCGTGAGGATCCGGAGGTCGCCGCCGCCGCCGCCGCCGCGTCCCACATCCAGTGTGCGAGGGTGAGCGGGGCCAGGCGCTCTCGGCGGGCTCGCCTTCCCCCCGCCTCGTCCTCTCGGGCTGCGGTCGCTCTCCAGGCTCCTCACCGTCCGGCCGCGGGAAGAAAAGCCAGACTCCCCCTCCGGTCTCCTTTTCCTCGCCGAAGCAGAAGGGGGCTTGAAGGGAGCCTTGATCTCAGCGCTGGTGGCGGCGGCGGTGCTGCTGCTGCTGCTGCGGCTTCTCCTCCGTCTCGGTGGGCTGTATCATTCTGTCTGGGTGCAGCAGCGCTGTCTCTTAAGATCTCCCCGGGCTCCCCGTCTCCTCGAGATGCGTGTGTCTCTCGCTCTTTCTTCCTCTGCGTGTATGCAGCAACAGGCAACAGCTCCCTTGCTTCAATAGCTGAGATGAAGGAGGGGAGGAGGAGGAGGGGGGGGGTAGAGAAGGCACTCTCTCCATTTGGATAAAGAGGAGGAGGAGGAGGGGTGAAAGGGAGAGGGGAGAGCGCGGGGAGGGGGGGCCGAGAGAGAGAACTGAAATCCCGCCCCTGGGGCTGTCAGATGGCTTGGGTTTCTGGCCTGCGATTGGCTCGGCGAGGGCAGAAATTACTCAGCAAACATGACTATTATTAGCTGCTTAGCAACAGCTCACCAAAGTAGAGAGACCACCCAGGCAGGCGAGCCTTGTGTGTGCATCTCCAACTTCAGGGGAGCCGTAAAGAGAGCCAGTCTTCTTTGCATGCAATACTTCCATTAAGGAATGCTTCTCTTTTTTTCCCCTCTCTCTCGCTCACTCCACTCATTTTCTCTCTCTCTCTCTCTCTCTCTCTCTCTCTCCCCTTCCTCCTTTTTTCTTTTCACGAAAGTGTGTGTGTTAAAAGCAGAAGGAAAGACCGTGGAAGGCGGCGGCGGCGGAGGGGGGGTTTAAGGGGGGGGGAAGAGTTGCGTTTTTAAAAAACTAACATACTGTACTGAATTTCCTCACGATCGACCTACTAAAATAAATCTCGGTTTATTTATTTTTCCCCCTTTAAGAGGAAAGCGGGACCGTGCGGGTGGGGGCAGCGCGGAGAGAGAAAAAGGAGGCAGAGAGTTTAGCGATACCCGAAGCCTTTAAAAGAAAATCCCTTTAGAGACACTTTGGCCTCAAGCTGCAGCGAATACTGGGAGGTCCAAGATGAATTCCTAGACTTGCACAAATAATGACAGGGGGTGGACACTGCGGTGCGCAGAGCCAGATATTTCTCTCTCCTCCTCTTTTTTTTTGTGAACCGAAAAGAGAAGCCCGCGTTCCTTACAAGAAAACAGGCAGCTGTATTAAGAAAAAGACCACAATGAAACCTTAATACTTGAAATAACAGATTGAAAAGCCGAAAGCAGGCAAGTTGCTCGCTTCAGGGCTGGGGGCGGGCGATCCAGTTTTTATAATCCTTAAGAGCAAGAGTATTGCTGGCGGCTGCTTTAAAGCTCCAGGCCGCTATAGAAATAATTGCACCACCTCTCCACATTTCCTCGTGTTGTTTTTTAACATCAGTCGCGATACACGCGCGCGTGCGCATATATTAAACCGCATGGTGTGGTCTTTATTTAATGTGGGGTTGTTTTTTTTGCGGGGATAACACGATTACCGTCCTCGTACGTGGTGTAACCGGAATATCATGTTTCCCTTTTACTTTTCAAATGTTTAGTTTGCTACTCTATAGAGCGAAATTTCGCCCGCGCGCGTCCTAGTTACTCGACCGCCGCCGCCGCGACCCCGAGCAGAATTCAGAGCGTGGAAATTCTGCCCTGCAAAAAGAACGCGAGATCCTCGTGTCGTATGTATGTCCTCCTCCTCCTCCTCCTCCCGCCACCTCCGTGAAGCTGCGTTCCCTCTCTCTCCCCCCCCCTCCTTCCACTTTTCGGCTCGGGAAAGTTACAAGAGTTTTAGTGTTGGTGGAGGGAGTGAAATGGGAGAGTGTTGCTTTAAGGAGAAAGCTTGTGTGTATTCATTGAGGGAAAGACCGGGGCGGGGGGGGGATGGCAGCACCGCACATTCAGAGAAAAGGAGGCCGGCCCTGGGGGGCGGGCTGAGGCTTTCACGTGACTGACTGGCTCGAGGTTGTGCAAACAAGGCTGGGCTTCCCCTCCGCACGAAATCTGGCCGCCTCTTCGCTTTAGCGCGCAGAAGGCGAAGCGCACGGGAGTCCAGTCCGGCTCCGAGCAGCAAAGCGGGAAAGAAGGCACCGCGCCGTCCCACCCCTTTCTCTCCCCCCCCCCCCAGAGAAAAATGCCAGACAAGCCATAGTACATTCCTAAAGGAGGGCTCTCCCCTCCACGCTGCCCAATAGCAAGCCGCGACCGTTCCTGCTAGCCAATGGCGAGGCGACAGAGGACTTTTCCATTCAGTTCTGCGCTACATTTCGGGGGGTGGCGTTTTGCTGCGCCAGCCGGGCTCGGGGCATCAGAGCGCCGGATTCACGCCGGCCTGACCCTGATCTCAAATGCTTAGCGGCTCGCTCTGCAGATCTTTCTCCGAAAAGCAGTTGTTGCGGCGAAAGAGATGTCAGGTTATAGGTTCCTCTCTCCGCGCCTCCCCAGTTGGAACCAGCGGCGATCACGCGAAAAAGCGCGCTGGTTTCTAAAGAAGTCTCGTTCCTCCCAAGGCACGTGTTGACTTTTTGCAGAGAGGCAGTTGCAAGGCGAGGAAAGCTCCTGCTAATTATAAAAACCCCATAAGGATAATTAAATTGGGATGGGGGAACTAGCTGGGAATTGCATTAGGGCTGCGATCCGCAAACCGCTTCCTCCGGAGCAAACACTTAAATAAATCCCAGTGGAACTTCGACCTTGCTTGTCGACATCAGAGAGTGGTTGCTGGTTTCGCGGTGTCCAGTGGTTGCTGGTTTCGCGGTGCAGTTTTAACCATTTGCAGGCTACCAATCCGCACCAGCCGCTAACGCAACGCAAGGGGTTTGTGGGTTGGTCTGAACGGGACCATTTGTGCTCTGTGAGCAACCGCTTGCTGGGGAGAGGCTGTTTTAGTGACAGAGCGCGTGTTCAACCCTCACTGTCGCCAGATATGGCTGAGAAAGAATCTTGCCTGAACCCTTGCAGAGGCGCTGCCAGTCAGTGTCGGCAGTGCTGAGTTAGATGGACCAATGGTCCGAATCGAATTGTTACAGTACCGATGAGACAATACACCAGTCGATGGCAAACCTTTATTCTGAATGTGGCGGTGATTTGGAATAACTACCCTGCTCCAGTTTCACCTTGTCAGTCACTAATGCGGATTAAAATGCCACCCACACACGCGAAAGCACGTATTGGAAATCAGGCTGTGGTAGTTACAGCACGTTAACCAGTCTCGAGTAAGGTATCAGTAATTACTGCCTGGAATAAAATTGGCGTGATGCATGTGGGAACTGGGAAGACAAAAACAAAATACTGCTAGGTACAGGACTCGCGGGATAAAGCCGTGTATAATTCCCCGAAGCAACAATACCTAAGGGGTATCCCATAATAGCATCCCTTGGTTGGCGTGCTACCACCGTCCTCCTCTAATTCTCTGCCAGCTTTTCAAGCATCAATAAATTCTCAGTCCTAGAACAAGGTTTACTTCCGAGCTAACATGACCAGGATCAAGCTGCAAAGAAAACCCTTCCCGGGGCGGGGGTCTGTGGCCCTGCTCTGCCTTTTGCATAATTCCCCATTACAGGCGCTAACCCCTCCCCGCGCCCTTTTCCTTTCCAAAGCCCTCGCCCTATGCCGGTTAAAATGTTGGTCCCCAAACACAACCTGGCGGCTCAAATTTAACAAGCCCTATCTTAATATCCTCCCCCTCCCTCTGCCCCCCTCTCCCTGTGGTCTGGTTAATTTCATACACAAGAGATGAATTACCGAAGGGATCTAATTGGCCTTGTTTCTGCAATATTGTGTGTGTGTGTGTGTGTGTCTCGGTGTAAAAGTCTCCTCTCGACGTGGGTGGTCGGAGCGGAGGACGTCTCCAATTTGCCTCCTGGCTGATGCGCACGAAAGAGCGCGGCCGCCTTCCTCGCGAGCACGTTGCCCCTGTCCTCCCTTCTTTACATTGGTCCGCATTGTTACCTTTAATATGCATGGCCCGCGCATGTAGCTTGCGCCTGGCCAGCAGGATTTGTCAACTTCAAGGAATCGCGAGGCTCCTCCTGCGGATTTAAGGGAGACGGAGCGCTGCCTTTGTGTGTGTGTGTTATCGGGCTCCGCGGGCCCGGCCTGCCTGCCCGCCGTTCTTGCTTTTTCCACGTGGCCTGGGAGAATGGAAGGACGATGCAAGGCCTGCAGCGGGCCCAGGCCAGCCATCGCTCCAGCTGGCTTTTTCTTTCTCGCCTGGTTGCAGCGGGATCTGCATTTCATTAGAAACCTTCCCTTGGCGCCACAACAATCGCCCTTCCGAGCAACCTCGGTGCACCGGGACCAGCCACCACCATAGAGAAGTCCTCCTAGGTGGCGAGAGAACTTCCAGAGTTTCGATCTGTCCTTGCAATGCCGAGGTCGTAAAGCGAGGCCTTGCAGCATCCGGTTACATTCAGAAAAAGAGACGACGTTGAAATAAACCACCTGCCTTCACGTGGGGGCGGGGAGGGGAGAGGGAGGCAAGACGTGAAGCTGTTCAAGGAGTTGGCATGAGTGCGTCCCCGGCCTTACTCAATGGGAGTACAGGTAATTTACAAAGCTTTAAGCGTGCAGCGTGGTTTTTTGTCGCCCCCCCCCAATATCCCCCCAACCTATCACAACAACCGAAGAATGAAGTATTTGTTCCTACTTGAGAAAAGCTAAGAGAGAATGTCAGTGGCAGAGATAGGACTGTCACTGAAATGAGACCTGGAACAGACAGGTGTGTGCCTCTGTGTGTATTACAGAGACCACCACATTTTTCTCACCTTGAGAAGAGTCGCTCTCCCTTCGTCTTAAACCATGATTTGAACCAAGGTTGGCCCCTGCTCAACCTGTTGGCAATTTCAGGGCAACTCCGGATAAATACTAATAATGAGCCGGATTCAGGCATCCCCATGAAATCAATAGGGCTTGAGTTAGTAATGACTAAGGAGTCGTTACATTTACCTCCGAGTAGGCATACTGTACATAGGAGGAGGGATTTAAGGCAAAAAAAAATCGGGACTGAGCAGTTTTAGATGTGGGTACACGCGTGTTTCTGTGCATGTATGAACAAGGACACGCGTGACTTTCCTAACTTAGTACAGGCCCGCTTTTTACACTTGAACAAAGCCCAGACTTAGTGTGTTGTGATGAGGTTCACCTTTGCCTGGCTGGCTTCCACTTCGGCATCCTGGGCGGCTGCAGCAGTAGCAGCAGCAGCGTCCGCGGAGAGGCTTTTGCAAGGAGCAGCCGGGGCTTGGGAAAGGCCCCCGAACGGCAGGACTCAAGCCGCCCTCGCCTCGGCCCCCGCCCGCCTTCCTTTTGGGTCCCCTCCTCGGCAGCGTCAGAAAGGGAACCGCTCGAGCCAACTTGTCAAAATAATGCGGCTAATTACCCCTGATCTCCTTTAATGGCAGGCTGCTTCGCACGCCACAAAGGAGCGAAGGAGGGATCGGCAGCGCCTACGCGCAGGAAAGCAGGCGGGTCGCCCCGCCGAGATCTCCGGGCAGAGAGAGCCACCAAAGGCCCCGAGAGCCCCGAGTTCACCGGGGAGGGAGGAGGGAGTTCGTCAGGATGGGAGGCCCCTGGGCTAAGGAGCATGGGAAGGGCATCCCAGTTAGGGAGGAGGCGCCCGTGCAAACGGAAACCCTCGGGGCTGGCGAGCCAGACCCCACAGATAGGTTTGTACCAGGGGCAGCATCACAATTTCCAGGAAAACTTGGGACTGCCTCTCTTCATTCTGAAAGAAGAGCTTCTTAATGCAACCAGAAAAGGACATTTTTAAAAGCCTGAGTATCTAGTCCTCAAGATGGTTTTAGTGGTTTGTTTGTTTTTAAAGATGAGAGTAGAAAGGTTACAAGTTGGAAAGAAAGGCAGAGCAGCGTCTGTGGAAGACTGATTTTTTTTTGGGCCTGTGCAGCTTTCCAAAGGTACACATAATATCTTTCACCTGGCAAATCCCCCGTATGACTGTACAGTGATGAAACTATAGGAGCACTGTTATTCTGTATATGTTGTAGAGAAAAAATGAGAAAGACACCACCAGCAGCAGCTGAAAGAGTGGTCCCAGATTTAAAAGCAGGATGCATCTGAGAAGGTTGGCAGCTATTACTCTAAGGTCTATCCAGCTATATGGACAGTACACGGGTGTATGCCCTCTGCCAAACTCCAGAGTCCTCCCTCCACCTTCCACTGAACAATTTTACCATCCTAAGGATTAGAAACTCAGGCTTAAAACAATAAATAAATCTCGCAGTGGTGCGAAAGCTGTGCCACCCCCATCGACTCTGACTCCCATGGCAATTGGTCAGGACTGATTGCAACTCTGGCAATACTTGGAGGGTTACAAGACCTGCCCCACCTCCACAACACAGTGTCTTTTAAAATGAGAAAAAACAGTCCCAAGCTCTCCTAGAAGTCAGCCTTCTGACTGGGGACTTCCTACCTCTCCAAACCCAGGACTTGGTGCTGACAGAGACTATTTGGTTGTGGTTACTTTGTATTTGGGGACGCGGGTGGCGCTGTGGATTAAACCACAGAGCCTAGGACTTGCTGATTAGAAGATCGGCGGTTCGAATCCCCACGACGGGGTGAGCTCCTGTTGCTCGGTCCCTGCTCCTGCCAACCTAGCAGTTCGAAAGCATGTCAAAGTGCAAGTAGATAAATAGGTACCACTCCGGCGGGAAGGTAAACGGCATTTCAGTGCACTGCTCTGGTTCGCCAGAAGCAGCTTAGTCATGCTGGCCATATGACCCAGAAGCAGTACGCTGGCTCCCTTGGCCTATAGAGCGAGATGAGTTGGCCACGACTGGACCTAATGGTCAGGGGTCCCTTTACCTTTACTTTGTATTTGGGGTTTTCAGTGGTGCTATTTTCTTTCTTAATAAAACATACATGAAATTATTTTCACATGATAAGCTGTAAGATATGACCCGTAGAAAAACGAGTGATTCTGTTGGAGGGCCCAAAGTCAATATCTCCAACTTTTATCTTTGTGTGTCTCAGGTATGACAAATCTTCATGCATTTACGTACACACACCCACACCATCCCCAAATATGCATTTTGGGAAGAGAGATCAGTTTTCCTTTTTAGTCTGAAATTTATCACTGTGAGCCTCTCTTAAGTGAAAGCCAAGAAGAGGGGAGATGTTTGAATTTTTAAGTGTAAGGTAAACAGCTGGTGTTAAGCAGTCAGTTATCTCCTAGCTTTTCAAGAATGAAAGCAAAGGAGAGGGAGGCAGATAGTAAAAGGAGAGACCTCAGCAAAGGGGAAATGCTGTGAAAATTTGCTGTCCAGCATCATCAGCGCCATTAAAACTAAGCAGTTGCTTTTTTCTTGACTGTACAACTTCAGGCTACAGGAGTGGAATCCATTTGTGTTCTGCTTTTCTAAGAGGAAAGCTCTTGCATGTGGAAAATCACAATGTTGAAGTGATGGGATAAACCAATCTCTCTCACCTATACTCTTTTTCTTTGTAAAGGGGAAGTTTACTTACCGTATTTTTTGCTCTATAAGACTCATTTCCCCCCTCCTAAATAGTAAGGGGGAATGTGTGTTCATCTTATGGAGTGAATGCAGGCTGCGCAGCTATCCCAGAAGCCAGAACAGCAAGAGGGATCACTGCGTTCGCTGCTTTTCCCTCTTGTTGTTCTGGCTTCTGAGATTCAGAATCTTTTTTTTTTCTTGTTTGCCTCCTCCAAAAACTAGGTGCGTCTTATGGTCTGGTGCGTCTTATAGAGCGAAAAATACGGTATTTCTCTCTCTCTCTCTCTTGTGTGTGTGTGTTGAGGAACTTCATTCAGACATCGCATCTTCCATCTGTAGCCAAGGTGTACCACTTGAATCCATCGTTTGTATAGACTAGACTGCCTCTCATCAGCTGACACAGGTTCAGGGGTAAGGGGCTTAATGTTTTCTTTCCTGGACCAGTCAACCGATTTATGCATTATATAAACAGAATGAGGTAGGAGGACTGGGAAGCAGTAAATTTTTGTACCATTTCAGGGTACAGGTGGAGGGAATCATATTCTGAATGCTCTCCAAAACTTCTCTTTTAGTTGCGTTGGAAGCAATTTTGAAAGTGGGGAGGAATATTCCCTCTCCTCAGTACTCTTATGCAAAATGAGCCTCATTTCCCAATTCCTGCATATGGTAAGCTAGCACATCAAAAGACAAAAAATGTAATTCTTTTTGATAAAGGTAGTGGTTAAGAGCGGTAGACTCGTAATCTGGTGAACCGGGTTCGCGTCTCCGCTCCACCACATGCAGCTGCTGGGTGACCTTGGGCCAGTCACACTTCTCTGAAGTCTCTCAGCCCCACTCACCTCACAGAGTGTTTGTTGTGGGGGAGGCAGGGAAAGGAGAATGTTAGCCACTTTGAGACTCCTTAGGGTAGTGATAAAGTAGGATATCAAATCCAAACTCTTCTTCTACCCTACCTGCAGTCTAAAACAACATAGTCTCAAATTCTAGCACTTCCTAGAATAAGGCCTGAAACATACGTGAAGCAATCATCTAGCTGAAGTTAAGCAGGCCAGAGTCTGCCTAGATAAGATACTTTATCAGAACCACGTTTATGCTACTTAGGGTTCCATGATGGAAGAAAGGTGAGATATAAGGGGGAGAAACTGCAGGAGATGAAGGGTTTTGTGGCTCTCCTTGCAATGTCTAAGAATCCCGGTTTTAATCTTGTGCTCTGCTAGAGAACAAACTGAAGTTACACAGGTCAACACAGGAACATGGGAAGCTGCCTATACTGAAGACAGAACATTGTACCACCTATCTCAGTATTGTACGTTGAGTAGAAATGGGCAGCTGTTTCATTCATTCTCAGCCCTCTCTGCATCCAACGTGGATACTCTACCACTGAACTATCACCCAATGGGTCATAGTTTTCCTCAGAAGAGCTCTTCTCCATCTTGCATGTTCATCCTGCCTCCCATTAGGCAAAAGGCGGGTTTTAATGCCTATGATCTCTGCCAAAGAGCAAATTGGTCACGGTGTGTTTGTGTGTGCATGCGCAAAGCCTCGCAATGCAATCCCATTGACCCACGGCTGGATCCACACGTTTACTGGAGATAGAGGCATGAGAAATGAAAAGGAAGTACAGTAAAGCAATTCAGTCTCAGTGCCTGCCTTTCTTTCAGGCTCCTAATCCGGTTTAGACATCACGCCTCCATCTCTGAATGGACTGCGGCAAAGGCAGAAGAAATAAAAGGTGGGTGGGTGTGATAAGGATAAAATCAGTGAGGACAGAGATATTTTAATTCATAGATCTCTGCCCTGTCAGTTTTCCATCTGCTGCATCCTGAAAGCAATTAGGAAAGGGAAATTAAAAAAAAAAGGGGGGGGTTCTTCCCCACTTTCCTTTCCAATACTCCCAGTGCAAAAGGCAAACCTCATTTCCCAGTGCCTTGCAAGAGTATTACAATCCTGTGCCACAGTCTGTAAATAAACGAATCAAAAAATCAGATTGATGAATCAGAAAAGTTATTTCCTTTTTACAGAACCTTACTTAGGTGTGTGGATGTGTCCATTAACCGAAGTCTCTGGGGATGGCCCCCCGTTCTGGTTTTAATTTTAACTACCTTGAATCTGTACTGCCAGATTTTTATTTATTTATTTTTTTGTAAAGAAACCCATTTTCCAGGAAGAAAGCCCAGACTGTCCTATGGAAGCTTCTGCAGACAACAGTTCCATTGATTTCTGAAGGACTTGGAACACAGGTACACACCGTGCCCTGTAAACTGTGGACTCACAGTTTGCTAGAGGAAAACAGAAAAGAAGCATGGGAATGCAAGCCCACTGTTGAGAAGTCCCCTATTCTAAACGGGGTACCAACAGCCAAAGAGGAAGACAGGTTGCACAAAAGCCAAGGTTAGGTTGAAAGGCTCCAGTATTTAGCATGTTTAGAACGGTTCCCAAACTACCCACACCGGCAGTGTGGTCCAGAGTAGAGGACCCTGGAGGAGGGTGTCTGGGTTCCAAGCCTTGAGGGCACCCACAAATCTCACTGTGTGGCCCTGTCACTGCCTTTGCAATAGGAATAGGAACCTTTGGCTTGCCCGATGTTGGACTAAAACCCCCATCAGCCTTAGCTATTCTTAGCCATGCTGGCTGAGGTTGATGGGAGCTGTAGTTCATCAACACCTGGCCAAAGGTTTCCCACTTGCTCCCCACAACATCAACAGTGCTAAAGAAACAGGGCAGGACTTGGGGGAGATGTCTGTTCAGCAAATTGAGCAGGAGGGTCCTGAAGCTCTACAGGGCTGGCTTTTCACACTTGGCAGTAAATGAAGTAATTCATCTTGCCCTCTGAAGGAGGGGCACCTCTAAGACCATTATCCCCGAGTCTGGAATGACACAACTACATCCCTGTTTTTAAAAAGGGAAGGGTTACTGATACCTACCACGAACCTCACCTACTTCCCTGCCTCCACCATTCCCAAATGGACTTTGTTGCCATGATTGATGCATTATGAAATGTTAGTCCTATGCATGGCACGCCAAGGTCTGGGGAGTGATGGGGAGTAAGGGACCAGTTATTAAATAAGAGGTATTCAAACATCCGGTGGGGTTATCCTTTTTAATCGCTGGTTTTCTATTACCTCCCAAAGATTGGCTTCATGTTTCATGACGAAAACGTCCCATCCTGTCGAGGAGACAACTGTTAAATCCTAAACTGTAAGCGTCTTAAACGGGACGTCCAACGGATCACCGCCACTACTAACGAGCAGCTACCCGTGGCTAGATCACACACGCACACAGGGATCCCTCTCTCTGTCTCTCGTTCTCTCCCCTAGCCCTGATCACCACGACAGTAGATTGCAAGACACGTCCGGAAAGAGCCCATCTTCCCCCTCTGCTCACTACGCTTGCTCGGAAGCAAGCCCCATTCTGACGTGCAGGGCCCCACAACAATCGTGTTTGAGTCCCTCGCGAAGCCAAGATCGAGCTACAAGCCGCTTACTCCAGAGTAGCCTCAGAGAAGTCGGGGGGGGGGGAGAGGATGCTGCAAAGCTCGTGGGAAAAGAAGAGCCCCAAACTAAGTAACACGAAGTTTGTGTTCAGACAAGGATTGCAAATCAATCAGATCCACAACTTGGCAAACTCGCCTCCCCTTTTTGTTTTAAATGCCAGTTAAAGGTAATCCTGGGTGGTTGTTTTTTGTTTTTTTTTTTTTTGCGGGGCGGGGGTGAGAGAAAGCAACCCCAGCAGACACACACGACTTAATCCTCCCTGAAACACAACAAAATCCAACGCGCTGTCCAGCAAATTTTTCTCCCAGGGAAACAAATCTCTCTCTCTCCCTCTCTCATTCCCGGGGAGGGGGACTCCTCGCGGGCGGAAGGCAGGGTGGCGACCCTATCCAAGCGTGAAAATAGGATCCCCGAGACCTCCTTGGACGCGAATTATCACCGATCAGTTCCGTCCTCGCCACCCCCAGCGGCAGCCGCCCTCCTCGCCCCCACCGGGAAACGAGACGCTGCCTGCCTGGGGGGCTGTGTGCTCCTGCAGTGACAGGAGCGAGGCGAGGCTGCCTCCCCTCCGCCTCCTCTCCCCCAAGCAAAAAGCCATCCTGGCTTTCCTTCCTCTTGTTTCACCCCCCCCCCCGTGCCAGGATTTGCCCTCTGCCAGGAGATCTCTCTCTCTGGATCCCCGCTCCCACCCAGGGGTGCCCCCCTTCCTGTTCCATTCCCCAGCCCAGAGGCCATTTTCCGTTGCATCTCTTACTCACCATCTCCCCGCTGAACCCCTCGGTGGGGCAGGGTGAGCTCCCGGTGGGGCTGGCCAATTTCATTCAGTGCCGTTGCTGCCGCCGCCGCCGAGGCAGAGGACTTCGATAGGAGCACATCGGTTTTCTTTTTTTCCCTTTTCCTGCTTGCCTTCAAAGCTCTCTTCTTGCCCGCCGCTTCCCCTCCACCTTCTCTCCCGCACCTCCTCCCGGTCTCCGAAAGGGAACAGAAAGTGTAAAATAATAATATAATAATAATAATCCTCCTAGGTTGCAGGCATTCTGCAGAGTGCTGAGCGGGCTCACAATTGCATGCCTGTTTCTATTAAGCGCTCCATCGTCCTCTCCATGTGGGTGGTCTGGCTTTCTCAATAGGCAGGACCTGTCAGGGTCACGTGATGGATCCGAAAAACTTCACCCTTTTTACAATAAACTCCAGGAAAGCAAAGTAAACCAACGTAACGTGCTATCAGCGCAGACCTCCTTGGGTAAACAGGCAGGCCAGCTTCCCCGAGATGGTCCCTGGAGCAGATCCCAGGCATGAAATTGACAAAGTGGTAACAACAGCCCTCTGCCCCCCCCCCTTTCCTCCCTCCCTACGACCCTTTTCTTCTCCGCCTCTCTCTTTCCCCCTCTATGTTCATTTGAAATCATCACCCATCTCAGCAGAACATACAAATCTTCTTTCATTCTTGGGCATAATTCGCTTTAGCCTCGGTTCCTTTCTTGTCCTGTTGGGAAGCAGAATAAAGTTGTTGGTTTTTGTTGTTGTTGTTGTTGTAAGATGGGGGGGGGCAGGTGCTGGAATGCAGAGCCATTCTTAAAATAAATACAGGGTTGAATGTTAAACGAAGAGAAAAAGGGGTTCGGAGTTTTCCCTCTGCTGAAATGTTTACCCATTCCACCTAGGGCTTGGTTTACAAATGTTGGACCCTTCAGGATTTATTTATGTCAATCCTTGCATTTTTTCCCTTCTTGTTCCTTGAAAGTTTCACTAGCAAGAAGTCTTTGCCTCGAAAGTGGCAAGCACACAATGCAAAACAAATTGATTAGACCAATGATGGAGATATCACTGGTCTAATCAGTCATGACTTTGTCTGTTTTGTCATTACTGGGTATCTCACATTTTCAGATAGCCTTCTGTTTTCAGAGGTGGAAAAAGAATAAAAACAGCCTATGGCCTATACTGGCAGCAACTGTGTATAATAGCAGCATTATGAAATGGGTGGGGTTTGTTTGTTTTTAAAAGCACATCTTATTTAATTGATTCAAACATGGGAATCAGAACTGTCTTATGACAACCACCAGTAACAACTTATTATGAAACCAAGAAGGAATTGTTCCAGTAGTGCTTCAACTGTATGTTTCCTGCTGCTACTGAACAGAACATTATTTGTCCAACAGGAGCAACATCCTTATGATAAAAAATCTCTCTTTGGCTCAAACGGAAAAAGGTGGTCATCTCAGAAACACGAAATCGTAAAGGTTTGTTCTGTAAAGGTTTCTATAAGCATCACATTGATGAATTATTAGTAGAAGCAACAGAATCCTTTCCAATGAACTGAGTCCTGTGGATGGACTTGAATAGACATCCCCAAGTCATTTCCGTTTCTTAATTTGATTTATTTCAGGGTTTTATTATTGCATTTGACTCTCACCCTCCCCACTGTGTCCTCACATCAACCCTGTGAAGTAGGTTAGGGTGAAATACTGTGACTGGCCCAAGGTCAACCAATGAGCTTCATGACCGAGTAAGAATCCCTCAGATCCAACACTCTTAACATTATACTGGTTCACCTTTTATCTGCGTAGCCTAGGCCAAGTTACTTTTCCCCCAATCTCAGTTCTCCATCTGTAAAATGGGAACAATGGTCACCAGGGGTTCTGGAAAAGAGAAATACAATTTTCCTACCCAATAGGATAGGACAGAGCATCCCCATGCAAATGGAAAGTGACTCTCAATATCTTCTGCACTATCACAGCATATTGGGGAAATACACCCTGTTTGCAGGGTTGGGTGGGTGCTAGCCATGGTAGATGCAACATGACTCTGCAGTACTTTATGGAACTCTGTAGAGCTTTATGGAACTTGATGGCTGTAGCTCAGTGATACAGCACATGTTTTGCACCTTGATTCAATCTGTAGCATCCTGAGGTAGATGTGGAAGGCACTTCACCTGAAATCTTGAATAATGTCTGTCAGTCAGTAGAGACGGCAACCTGAGGTCCTCCAGCCACTACCCATCAGCCCCAGCCAGCATTCCAAATTAGGAATCATGGGAGTTGTAGTCAAACATCTGAAAAGTCACAGGTTGCCCATCCTGGAAGTAGACAACACTGAGCTAGACGACCCCATGGTCTGACTCTCTATAAGGCTGCTTCCTATGTTCCTTTCCCCCACCATGGAATTGTGATGCTTCTGGTGGCTGCCTAGCCTGCCTAGGTAGACCTAGTCCTATTTACATACTAATAGTTGAATCCGGAAGGGACGCGGGTGGCATTGTGGGTTAAACCACAGAGCCTAGGACTTGCCGATCAGAAGGTTGGTGGTGAGCTCCCGTTGTTCAGTCCCAGCTCCTGCCAACCTAGCAGTTCGAAAGCACGTCAAAGTGCAAGTAGATAAATAGGTACTGCTCCGGCGGGAAGGTAAACGGCGTTTCTGTGTGCTGCTCTGGTTCGCCAGAAGCGGCTTAGTCATGCTGGCCACATGACCCGGAAGCTGTATGCCGGCTCCCTCGGCCAATAAAGCGAGATGAGCGCCACAACCCCAGAGTCGGCCACGAATGGACCTAATGGTCAGGGGTCCCTTTACCTTTTAGTTGTATCCGGACATTTCCCTCTGCTGACAGAAGGCTCTTTGATTGAGTAGAAGGTTCCATGAGGGTATTATATATATATATATATATTTGGGCAAAGTTGCCTTTTCTCCTGCAGACCCCTACAACTGACTACCCCCTTGTACCAATCCTCTTGATCAGATTTGGCAGCGGGGCAAGGTGGGCACAGGGGGTGGCAGAGAGGAGGGTGAATAAGCAAAAGTTACTTCCTTGTGGTTGCCCTGATCCAACCACCTGCTCTCCGACCTCAGTGAAACCAGCGCTCCCAGCCAGGAAAACGGGGGGTGGGTGGGCCCTTCCCCAAAAGAGTGCTCCCCAAGTCTGCCCAGGAAGAATCCTTGGGACGGGTCCCTGATTTTCCTGCAGCAGAGGAACCCCTCCCGAGAAGCTGGGCTCAAACAGCTCTCGAAAGCATAAACACCAGAAAACTGAGGCTCAGGCAGTGGGGTCAGTGAAGGAATGCGTACCTAAGAACGTCATGTCAACACACTGCCCAAGAGTGAAGGGTTCTTTGGGAGTACCTGCCGTTCTCTACAGAGTCCAGGATTCCTCTAGAGAGCAGGCTTAACCACCTTTTTCAGTCTGGGAGGCCAGGCTGTATAAACCTCCAGCTGAGGTCTGGCTCCTTAGTCATGCAATCTAACTGTCTTTAACTGCTGACCTTTGCCCCCCATCGCTCTACCTCTGAATTATATGTTGCTCAGGACTACTCTCTGGTTTCTGACCTCGGTTTCACCTTGGCTTTGCTTTCAATAAGGCTACCCTTATTACGGCTTGTGTTTTTGATCGGATCCTTTGGTGGACCTGCTGTGTGGTCTTACCTGAGCCCAGTTAAGGGACAGTGACCCAACCAGCTGTAGAATACCCACCCTTTCTTTTAAGCCAGTGTGGTGTAGTGGTTAAGAGCGGTAGTCTCGTAATCTGGTGAACCGGGTTCGCTTCCCCGCTCCTCCACATGCAGCTGCTGGGTGACCTCGGGCTAGTCACACTTCTCTGAAGTCTCTCAGCCCCACTCACCTCACAGAGTGTCTGTTGTGGGGGAGGAAGGGAAAGGAGAATGTTAACCGCTTTAAGACTCCTTCAGGTAGTGATAAAGCGGGATATCAAATCCAAACTCCTCTTCTTCTTCTAACACTGGGGGCTGGAAACCTTTTCAGTCTGAGGGCTCCGTTCCATATGGGCAGATCTCTGGGGACCACGTGTAGAAGTGGGTGGAGGCCATAGATGTGACTCTTAATTTTGTACAGCTGGGCTACATACCAGCTATGCAAAGCTCAAGAGGTTTCTACACGGCCCCCTCACCCCTTGTACCACCCAAGCAAGCAAAAGGTGTTATCATAGTTCAAGATCACATTCTGACTATGCAAAAACACTCAAGGAAGGTGTAGAGTAGAGCTTGTAAGGGATGTTGGCTGGGGAGAGTTGAAGGCTGGATAGAGAGGTCAAGGGAGCTGAATTCAATCTCCTGTTCTGGCAGAAGCCCCTACTGGATCAAACAGCCTTCTGTCAGTGGAGGGACATGACTGGATACATCCACAAAAAGTTGTCAGTGTGTGCACATGTGTGCATGGACACACACACAGAGTCCAAATAGTCTAGTACTGAACCAATAATATTTAGGTCCCAATACATTGCTTTAAGGCACATGTGTCCCACTGATTTTAGTGAAATTGGAATATACATAACTCTGTGGAGGATAGTAAACTTACTTTCAAGAAAGCTCTACAGATTTAAATCAACCTTTGGTTTGAATGTCCATTGATTTCTATGAGACTTAATTCTATGCATAGAAGAAATGGTGGTGGTTCTTTCTTAAAGCCTCGTTGTAGAATTGCTTTAACAAATGTCTAGATGTGCCCTTGTTTTTGCACTACAGCAAATGTTCCAAGATGTATGAGATATGGCAGCAGATAACAAATTAAGGACCTGGGTTGATGCTGAAAGCATTATGTGATTCTGTCACCATAAACCTAAAAGCTAAGTTAAATTGCATTCACCACCGCCACCTCCCCCAGCTAATCATTTCAATATGTTCAGGTGAATATTAGTGTTTTAAAATATATATTTGTAAGAACCCTTGAACAATTTTTTTCCAAGTTTACATAGTGGCATCTCAATAATATCTAACATTTATGCCGTTGTAATTTCCTGAGACACCACTGTTATGCTATTGGTAGATTGTATATGGTGATTCTGCTTAGGTCTTTTCTCGGGCATTTAATTTGGATTTGAACCATAAGGGTACAATCTTCAAACAAAAGATTATTCTACACTAAACAAGTAGCTAGAAAAGTGCACTTTTGAGGATAATTGAGGATACCGAAGGGAAAGGACAACTTCTCTCAAAGAGCAGGAACTTACCTCATAGCTGGAAAAAGGGCCATGCTTAGTATTTTCTTCATCCAATTTTGGAATATGGGTTTTTCCTACAATATCCAAGATCCATGAGTACTGAGCAACTCCTGCCTAGCATGGTGCTAGCTAGTTGGGAAAAATGCCTATCAGTAGGGCTTACCCATGGCTGAAAAGGCATAACAAGGCTCTATTTTATGTCCTGTCAATGAGGCAGCTAGGACATTGAGCTGTACTTCTTCTTCTGTGGTGGTGGTGCTGTAGAGCTTCCTTCTCCATGAATGGTCCTTCTGGTCCTCTAACTTTCTAATTATTTTTAAAGAAAACACCAACAATTATATTGCCTGCTGAGTTTTATTGAATTTTGATTTTCAGGTGTGCTATCCCTTTAAAACAACAACAATTTGGCCCTAAATCTGTGGTACCTCTAGTTACGAAGTTAATTCGTTCCGGAGGTCCATTCTTAAGCTGAAACCGTTCTTATCCTGAGGCACACTTTCACTAATGGGGCCTCCCGCTCTGTGTGTGCCTCTGGCACACGATTTCCGTTCACATCCTGGGGCAAAGTTTGCAACCAGGAGCAGCTATTTCCGGGTTAGCAGAGCTCGTAACCTGAAGCGTTCATAACCTGAAGCGTTGGTAACCAGAGGTACCACTGTACTTAAATGCCAAACTTAAATGTTTTGTAATTCAATGAAGCCTTAGTTTCACATACCTACAAAAAATACACCCTTGCACCAGAGCTGAATAGTAGCGATTATGGTATGCATGTATGTTGTCCCAAATTTAATTCCTGGCTTCTTCAGTTTTGCTTTCTTTCTTCATATTTGTTACATTTACATTCCAGCTTTCCTCCAAGGAGCTCAAGGGAGCATACATGATTCCTCCATCACACCGCATCTATTTTACCCTGTGAGGTAAAACATAGCTCAGTCAACAGAGCAGGAGACTCTTAATCTCATGGGTTCGAGCCCCACGTTGGGCAAAAGATTCCTGCATTGCAGCGGGTTGGACTAAATGACCATCGTGGACCCTTCCAATTCTGCAATTCTAATGTAGTAACTGGCCCAAGGTCTTTCAGTGAGGTTAATGTCTGAGTGTAGATCTGAACCTAGTCTAATACAGTGGTACCTCGGGTTACATACACTTCAGGTTACATACACTTCAGGTTACAGACTCCGCTAACCCAGAAATAATACCTCGGGTTAAGAACTTTGCTTCAGGATGAGAACAAAAATCGTGCTCCGGTGGCGCGGCAGCAGCAGCGGGAGGCCCCATTAGCTAAAGTGGTGCTTCAGGTTAAGAACAGTTTCAGTTAAGAACGGACCTCCGGAACAAATTACGTACATAACCAGAGGTACCCCTGTACTCTACTCTCCACTCCACCCTGGATTTCCCCAAGACCCTGGAGAACTACAGTCAGTCAGAGTAGATAAAGCCAATAGACTGACTCAGTAAAAAGCAGTTTCATATGTTCCTTTCTACACCTGTCCCTGCCAGTAGTGTATACTTGTGTCTCTGATTTTGTGAATGCAACTGTGTGGTACCACAGCAAACATCTACTAAGCCAGATGTAGCTAAATGAGGAGTGAAGTAAGCTTGGGTCTGTTCTGATATGTAACATAAAATTTTCTTTGGCCTGAAGGAGCGTCTCCACCCCCATCGTTCTGCCCGGACACTGAGGTCCAGTGCCGAGGGCCTTCTGGCGGTTACCTCGCTGTGAGAAGCCAAGTTACAGGGAACCAGGCAGAGGGCCTTCTTGGTAGTGGCGCCCTCCCATCAGATGTCAAAGAGAAAAACAACTACCAGACTTTTAGAAGACACCTGAAGGCAGCCCCGTTTAGGGAAGCTTTTAATATTTAATGCTGTATTGTTTCTAGCACTTGATTGGGAGCCGCCCAGAGTGGCTGGGGAAACCCAGCCAGATGGGTGGGGTATAAAAAATTTATTATTATTATTATTATTATTATTATTATTATTATTATTTCTCATGGGCAGTTCAGATGGCACTCCCTTAATTTTCACCATATTTTGATTTGGCCACACACAGAAGAAGAAGACTTTTGTGGATTCAACCTGCAAGTTCAGCTCAATTACATTACCACAAACCACTTCCTGTCCCAACAGGAACCTGTGTGTTCAGAGCTACCATAATTTTTTTAAAAAGCTGAAAAAGAAAACCACTGACCTGGTTAGAATCTTCAGCATATTTTGGTTTTATTCGGTGCTTTTTTTTCTGGGTGTACTCAAGTATATGCAGTCGAAGAAAAGCACTAGTTAAAAGTGTGGTACTTACTGTAACAACTTCATTTTTTCTGGAGGAAAAGCACTGGTTTTATTTATCAGAACTTCTCTTAAGCCTTACCTGATTCTCAGGATCGATACAATAATTTTATGTGTGAGAACAACAAAAGGGGACAGTTTTCTCCAGAGAAGAAGGTGAACGTGAAGGGTTAACTATAACGGGAGGGGAAAGAAAATACAAAAGAAAATGCATCCGGGTTTTCCTAGGACTTCCAGTTCCTAACTTTAAGAGGCAAATAGCTCTGATTAATGGGTATATTTGGCTAGCACTGGTTGAGTGGTTTTCAATAGTTTCTTCAGCTTAGTGCTTCATGAAACTAAACTGCAGCTTTGTAATGTAAAGGCTGCTTTTTAACAGTCAGTAGGCATAAAGCACTACTGAAAGGAGGGTGTGCTGGAATAAATGTGGGATTAATGGAATGTTACTGGAATTGTTTTAAAGGTTCTTTTTTTAAAAAGCTTGTTTTTTTAAGGGAAAGAAAGAATTTCTTTGTCCTTTTCCCCCACAAGGTCATGGTGGAAAGGTTTGGCTTTCCCATAAGAAACCCCTGGAGGAATGGGCAGAGAGATCTCACAGAATGGTTGTGATACCACTGTCCTAGCATGAGTTCCTAGCATGGAAGCTTCAAAAGGCATTGGTTTCTCTAGCTGAACAGGACTTCTACAGGTATCTGACATGAAGCTGAGGAATGTTTTGCTCCTTTACGTTATGCATCCAGTGTGTGCTCCACTATGGAGTTCTACATGTGGGTGCCCATTCATTTTCTAAGAGGGAGCATATCTTTCTGAAGAAGGTATGTGTCTGAGGACCTACTTCCTCTTTTGAAATGAGTGAGGAAGTCCTAGCAGGCAAGTAGTTCATCTCCAACAACGTGGAGATTCTGGAGCTAAAATATAGGCTCTTTTGAGTTAGATAATAAATATTAAATTAGGCCAAAGAGGTTGTTCTTGTATTCTTTGATTGGAGCCCATTTAAAGGAAACTATAGTGATGACAAACCTAGACAGCATCTTGAAAAGCAGAGACATCACCTTGCCAAGAAGGGTGCGTATAGTTAAAGCTATGGTTTTCCCAGTAGTGATGGATGGAAGTGAGAGCTGGACTATAAAGAAGGCTGATCGCCGAATAATTGATACTTTTGAATTATGGTGCTGGAGGAGACTCTTGAGAGTCCCATGGCCTGCAAGAAGATCAAATCTATCCATTCTTAAGAAAATCCACCCTGAGTGCTCACTGGAAGGACAGGTCCTGAAGCTGAGCCTCCAATACTTTGGCCACCTCATGAGAAGGTAAGACTCCCGGGAAAAGACCCTGATGTTGGGAAAGATGGAGGGCACAAGGAGAAGGGGACGACAGAGGACGAGATGGTTGGACAGTGTTCTCGAAGCTACCAGCATGAGTTTGACCAAACTGTGGGAGGCAGTGGAAGACAGGAGTGCCTGGCATGCTCTGGTCCATGGGGTCACGAAGAGTCAGACACGACTAAACAACAACAACAACAACAACAATAACAGGCCAATAACAGCTAGCTATGGATGTTCGACAATATAAATCAGGAGAACCCGTAAACTTCAGGTATTGTTGGACTCCAACTCCCATCAGTTCCAACCAGCATGACTAAAGGTGAAGGACAATGGGAGTTGTAGTCCAACAGCAACATCTGGAAGGTCACTCATGACAGGTTCCCTACCTCTGCTCTAAACTGAAGAATTTCATAAGTTGTTACACAAATTTACTCATGGTGTACCATTGTTTCCCTCTGTTTGCCTGCCGGCTTCCTATCACTGTCTTCACAAAGTGTCTCAGTTTGCAGGTGTGCCTGAACTTCATTTTGCTAGGCCTTCAGGCTCTTTTGTCTTCTCTATTGGCCAATGCTAGACAGAAGGACTTCAGAAGTTAACAAGTCCCGAGGAAATCAGCATGCTCAAGGAATTAAATTGCACGGATAACACTGCTTGAATCATTCCATTTCAGCACTCTTTTCTAGCACTCATTTTCATGTCGAAGGGTTTGAATGAACCTAATCAACCTATATTTCTTTCTTTCTTTTTAACCTAATCAGCCTATATTTCTGTTCTTGGGTTAGTGGGAAGTCTCTGCCTTCATCAAATTAACATCAGTGCAGGTTGTGAGCACAGTAGTTAGTACAGACTCTGCTAAAAGAAGAAAACACAGTGGCAGCACTCGTGTCAAGGTGGTATTAATGGAAATACAAAGCCTTCTGATTTTTTTAAAAAAATTAATATGTGTGTGTGTGTGTGTGTGTGTGTGTGTGTTTAAATATACAATAGCAATAGATCTGCTATTGTCCTTTAATTCCCAGGACAGCAAGGTTTGGTGGTTGACTTTGAGACTGTTGTCAAACAGCCCTGCTAACCTAGACAATGAAAATTACTAATATAACAGTTCTTAATGCTTCCTCAGTTACTGTGATGCATTTAACCCTCTTAAATACACATTGGCTTCATTTAACATTTTGGGCTCTTCGAAATTTGTGAATAACTAATGGATAAATTCAGTGCAGGAAAGCACAGATGAATGTAGAAAAATGGGGGGGGGGAGATGATTGAGATGAAGATGCTCATGCATTGATGGGGGAAGCAGGATGGATTTTGTGTTCCTCTGATGGTGATGCATCCATTGGCCACACCCAATGCAGCTGCACTGTTAGCAAAAAGGTGAAAGGGAACTTGAATTGGCTAGCAAGCCATGTTCTGGTTGGGCAAGATTGTATTCCTGTGGAAGAACTCCACACATAATCTGTATGCATAGAGGACCTACTTCTCAATGGGGAAGGGTCGCAGCTCAATGACAGAAATCTGCTTTGTATAATAATAATAATTTATTATTTGTACCCCGCCCATCTGTCTGGGTTTCCCCAGCCACTCTGGGCGGCTTCCACAAAGACCAAAAATACACTAATATGTCATACATTAAAAACTTCCCTGAACAGGGCCTTAAGATGTCTTCTGAATGTCAGGTAGTTGTTTATCTCTTTGACATCTGATGGGAGGGCATTCCACAGGGTGGGCGCCACCACCGAGAAGGCCCTCTGCCTGGTTCCTTGTAGTTTTGCTTCTTGCAGAAGGCTGAAGTTTCAATCCCCGCATCTCCAGGTAAGGCTGCCTGAAACTCTGGAGAGCCATTGTCAGTCCTCGTGAGTTGGTGGACCACTGTTGTGACTCTGAACAAGGCAGCTGTCTATGTTTCTGTGCCACTGAATGCAAAATTGCTAGGGGACATGTTAAGTGGCCTCAAAGACTGTTGTTGTTGTCGTTTAGTCGTGTCTGACTCTTTGTGATCCCATGGACCAGAGCACGCCAGGCACTCCTGTCTTCCACTGCCTCCTGCAGTTTGGTTAAACTCATGCTGGTAGCTTCGAGAACACTGTCCAACCATCTCGTCCTCTGTCATCCCCTTCTCCTTGTGCCCTCCATCTTTCCCAACATCAGGGTCTTTTCCAGGGAGTCTTCTCTTCTCATGAGGTAGCCAAAGTACTGGAGGCTCAGCTTCAGGATCTGTCCTTCCAGTGAGCACTCAGGGCTGATTTCCTTCAGAATGGATAGGTTAATCCTCAAAGATTAAGTGTGAAAAAAGGACTGAAAATCAGACCTTTAGTGCTGTTACTACTTAAGAATAATGCTTCTTATACCTGCAATGTTAAGTAGAAATACTGAGAAGATGATCTGCCACAGCATAAAATCCAGTGTGGGTGTGGGTGTGTAGTGAAAAACTCACCCTTTTCTTTTTTCCAACTGTTAGGACATGCAGGAAAAAGCAGACACTGACCTTTAAAAACAAACATACAAAGATAACTTAAGATAGCCAAACTTTAGTGCTTTAAGTCGCTTATGTTAATTTAAAATGGAAGCAAGGTATTCTCTTACCTAATTTAAAATGTGAGCTGAACGAGAATTCACAAAAGCATGTAATTCTTAGGGATGAACACTATGAACATCTTGACTTTGTATTCTGTGCAATTAGCAATCCATGGTATATCCCAAATTGCATTCTTTAACCATCTTTATTCCTAGGATGAAAGGTGGGGATTGAAGGTGGCACAATGTTTGTGTGTGTTCACACAATTTTAAATTGTGATGTGCATATGTCTCCTTTTGTTGGCTCAGACTCCTTCCTGGTTGCACGAGCTGCCAGTTTTGTATGTCCAAAGTAGAGCATGGCATTCTCTTCCAGACACCCCCTGCAATAATTTCCTTAGGAAATGAGATCATTTTGTCACATGCAATGGTTGGGTTTCCCTTTAGTGCTAGTTACAATTTGCTAAATTGCAAGCTTGTTTCATTTAGTAATGTACTACTTTTGTACTAGTTCTCTGTAACTCCTTGTTAGCTAATGAGTCTCTTTCAGACTTGGTTCCTA